TCTATATTTACAAAATAAAGAGAAGGAAGCCCTTCATTCTGATGGAAAAGAAGACAACCCAGAGGAATGGAAGGATTATAAGGGATGATGGCCTTAGGAATCACTATAGTAACCAATTGGAAGGGGAATATTGACCAATCAGAGGGGATATCAAGACACAGGAACTGCAGCCGTTATAAGCCATGGGTAAAAGAACTCAGTAGGACCCTTTCTCCCTCACTATGTGGGAGTTCATTCTGTGGGACTCTTCCCTCTCCCCATGAGGGAGTCTGTATCTATTCTTCAACAAATTTCCATCTTTGCTATACAAAAAAAAGAAAAAAGAAATACATATTCATACTGAAAGATGACCTATGTAATATACAGCTCCAGCACTTTAAAACCACATGAAATATTATAAATAACAAATAATGATGGATGGGTATGCATATGTGCAGTGAATCTTTAAAATTCATAATTCTGTAAGAACCTTGTACTACTTAAAAAATAGGACCAAGTCGTCCCAGTGTGGCTTACTATACAAGCATCAACCTATGAAAGAGGAGATTAGGGTTGGATTTCTGTTTGGGTTAGAAGCCTGAGGTGTGGGTTTGATCCTGAAAGATCAGACAGAGGCCTAAAAACCAGGACTACAGGCTTTATTACAGCAGAAGCGCCTGCTGGGCTGTCTCACAAGGGGAGAACAGCAACACGTGCAGGGGTGGGCACGCCTTTTGAGGGGCGGAATGGGAAGGGGTGGGGGGCTTAGTGTACTCGGGGCACACTGATTGGTGGCTTACTGCATTGTCCATATAGGACAAGGGCTTAGGGTATTTGGCAGGTGTGGATTGGTGGTCCAATCTATAGTCCATATAAGGCACCTGGTTAATCACTCAGGTATTTCTAGGCTGAAGGTTATGTCATACTCCACCAACCAATTGGGGGTAGGGAGGATCTATCAGATCCCCAGTGAAGGGTATGCAGGAGGCCGCTGATCAATGATTCACTCTCGTCATTGATGTTTCCATCACTCTCTCCCTCTCCTTCCCTCTCTGAAATCTATAAAAAATTTTTTTAAATTGAGAGCAAGAAACACAGTGAAGTATACACCCAATTGGTACATGTCATAAAGCATTAAAACTAAGTAACGTAGAAGAGGAGTTGAAAAAAATCTAAAACCTGCTAGGGCTAGAGATAACTTCTAAAGGAAACTAACCTCCAGCACACTGAAACTGGAAGGATAATCACAGGAGTGGTCTGACACTCCCCAGAAAGTTCTGATACAGGGCCCTACCTGGTTTGGCTCAGTGCTGTACACAGCGGCAAACCGCCGCTAGTGAGCCACATGGGGCTCTTTGGCCCCAGTGGATTATACTGAGTGTGGGTTTTCCACAAAATATCGCCATACTCAAGGGGCCAAAGAGCTGCATTTGGCTCACGAGCCTGCAGATAGCCGAAGCACAAGTTTGCGAACACTGGCTCAGTGGATAGAGCATCTGCCTGGGGACTGAAGGATCCTGGGTTTGACTTGGGCCAAGGGCACATGCCTGTATTCCAGGCTGCATCCCCAGTACGGGGAGTGCAGGACACAGCCCATGCATGATTCTCTCTCATCATTGATATGTATTTCTCTCACTTCCTCTCTGAACTCAATTAAAAACAAGTATTACATAAAAAAATAAAAAATCAATAGAAAAAATATCCTCAGGAATTAAAACACATTATATCAATACAAAAATTTATTTCCTAAATCAAAAAGGCAAAAAATGAGTGTAATTCTAACATTCACATTTGTTATCCCATTGTCTTTATGTTAAAGAAAATTGCCAAAACTCATAAAACATTAGGCAGAACATATGATAAGAGGTTTTAAGAAAGATACAGACACAACAAATATATATTGGAGAAAAGATTCACCATAAATTTCTAGAAAAATATAATCAACACTGAGGTAGCATGACAAACCTACAAAATAAAATGTTTAAATACATGATGGACCAAACAAAATATTCTCTAGGATATGAAGAATGTGAATCCGTCACACACCACTGGAAAAATACAAAAAAGTAAAATCAGTTAAGGTTTATTTTATTTATTTAAAATATATTTTATTGATTCTTTACAGAGAGGAAGGGAGAGGGACAGAGAGTTAGAAACATCGATGAGAGAGAAACATCGACCAGCTGCCTCCTGCACACCCCCCACTGGGGATGTGCCTGCAACCAAGGTACATGCCCTTGACCGGAATTGAACCTGGGACCTTTCAGTCCGCAGGCCGACGCTCTATCCACTGAACCAAACCGGTTTGGCTATTTTATTTATTAAAAACAATCTTTATTACTTATTAGCATACCATAGAGCTCTGCTACTGGTTGAGTCACTCCATTCTTAGTGAGACATGCTCATAGACATTGATGTTTTCTGTATTTAAACATATTTCCTTATTGACTTCGGAGAGGAAGTGAGAGGGAGAGAGAATCATGGATCGCACCTCCTGCAGGCAAACTACTGGGGATTCAGCCCCAAACCCAGACATGTGCCCTTGGCCGGAATCCAATCAGCGACTCTTTAGTTCACAGTCTGATGATCAAACCACTGTTCAAAACCAACTAGGGAAAGGTTTATTTTTTATTTTTAAAGAATAGTTTATTAATTTTTAGAGAGAGAAGGGAGGGAGAGAAACAGTGATGGAAGAGTGCCATATTGGCCAGTGACCTCCTGCACACCCACTTCTGAGGATCTAGCCCACAACACAGGCACATATCCCCACTGGCAATCAAATCCACAAACCTGTGCTGCACAACATGATGGACAAGTACTGATCCACACAAGTCCTGGTGGTATATCCCATTTAGATCACAATCTACTAATCTCGGTAAATTTAAACATTCCTCTACTCAAACCCCCACGACTATGCACTGAAATTTTGACAAAGGTAAATAACACTTATATACATACAAGGAATTACACAGAAATGTGTGTACCAGCTTTTTTAGAAATAACCAAATATTTATTAAAATGGGCAAAGTGATGGTGATATATCAATGATAAGAATATCTATCAGAAAAAAAGATGAGTTACTAGTGTAACTTTAATAAATCTCCAAGTATTTATGAAACATAAACTAAAGCAAAAAAATACTTAGGAAAATAATGTTCTCTACGAAAATGGAATGTAAATCCATGGAAAATAGGAAAGCTGTGAAGAACATGGACAAATTAAAAGAAGTCATTATCCAATCCCCGAACTTATGCCCTCTGGGTGAGAGTCTCATCTCAGTGACAGAAAATGTAACAATGAAGAACTTTCATCCAAACACACAAAAGTCACATTCCTGAACTAAAGACAGCCGTTGTCTCCCACAAAAGCCACATTCCTGAACTAAAGACAGCCTTTGTCTCCACCTTTCTTTCTTTTTTTTTGTACTCTATTTTTGTTTAATTTTTTTTCAATTTTTAATTTCTCCATCTTTCTTTTGATGCCAGCACAATGGCTCTGATGGGAACTTTTGAGAAACAATAGGAGCCAGAAAACATCTTGATTATACTCAATGACAATGACTGCTCCACAGAAGTTAAACATCCCTGGAGTCCCTCAGATCTGTGTACAAACAGCTCTTATAGTCTTTTCCTCAAAATAATTCCTGGATGCACAGTTAGATGAGGACCATTCCATCTAAAGGGGTGCAGTCTCGTCCAACAACAATTAGGTCAGTGTTTCTGTAGGAAAGGGTTTCCCCTGAATGCCACTGTCTTCAAACCAGTGACCATCACCCATGATATTGTAGGCATTAGGGCACATGGCCCTCTGCAAGACCTGGGCAAGATATTTATTTCACAAGTATTGGCATCACTTGCAAACAAGAAGAAAAATTCATTCTCCCAGACATACTTGAGGTTGTCACAGCTACCCCCTCTTTGGAGTGATCTCTATGTCTCAAAGCATCCAGCTTCACACGAGAAGTAGAGTGTCCACAGTGTTTCCTGGGAAATTATGGGCATCAGTGTAAATTTGCCAAAAACTGCTGAGCTAATTTCTGCACCATACTGTTCCCCAAAGAGAAAAATGTTTGAGACCCTATACAAGTTTCTCACCTCATCATGCTTGGAATGCCCAGATCTCTTTATAGACTAACCTATAGAGTAAATAGAACCCAGATTTTAAAAAGTCTTAGGAAAAAGCCTTCATTAGTTTACAAACCAGAGACAGGAGACTGGAAGATCTTCCATTGATGACTTAGGCAGGCAATAAGCTCATTATTAACATCTAGGGAAAGTGTGTCACTGAAAATGGCAGGCCCTTTGCAACATTATGTTTACTAGGGCGAACAGTATGAGTCCTATGTGTCCTATGACAGGGAAACAAGATAGAACTAAGGGCTCAAAACTAATTTTCTTCAACAAATTAGACAACAGAGTTCCCTTTGCTGGGTACAGGTACAGGGTGATGGATTCCAAAGGTAGGGACCTTATCGGTGGTTCAGGTGAAATACCTTCAGCAACAGAGATATGCAGTGACATAGATCTGGCAGGACATCTCTGTATATTAGAACGTGCAACATAATTACATAGTGCTCCAACATAAAAACACAAACACAACAGCAAAAACACTTATGGGAACTTTACATAATGTAGGTGATTAAATATATGAGATACAATTCAGAAAAATGAGGATTCACAAATTTTCTTATAGTATTTTTAAGTCCTAAGAAACTACATTTCCTACACATCTAAGAAATTTCTCACATTTGTACTCTTATGCAGGGAGCAAATTTAGAAATTTGGCTGAAAGATACCTCACATTAATTGCACTCATAAGGCCTTTTTCCAGTGTGAACTCTCTGATGACTACGAAGGGTACTTCTCTGGGTAAAACATTTCCCACATTCACTGCATTTATAAGGCCTTTCTCCAGTGTGCACTCTCTGATGACATTGGAGATGATCGGCTTGTGTAAAAGTTTTCCCACAGTCACTGCATTGATAAGGCTTTTCTCCTGTATGAAATCTCTGATGACGACGAAGGACAGTGGACGTGGTAAAAGATTTCCCACATTCACTGCATCTATAAGGCCTTTCTCCAGTGTGCACTCTCTAATGATATTGGAGACGATAGCCAGTTATAAATGACATATCACATTCACGACATTTCTCCTGCATGAATTCTCTGATGACAACGAAGGGTACTGCTCTGAGTAAAAGACTTTTCACATTCACTGCATTTAAAAGGCTTTTCTCCAGTGTGAACTCGCTGATGACTACGAAGGTTGCTCTTAGTGGTAAAAGTCTTCCCACATTCACTGCATTTATAAGGCTTTTCTCCTGTATGAATTCTCTGATGACAACGAAGACCACTGTTCTGGGTAAAAAACTTTCCACATTCACTGCATTTATAAGGCTTTTCTCCGCTGTGAACTCTCTGATGATTACGAAGGCTGCTTTTAGTGGTTAAAGTTTTCCCACATTCACTGCATTGATGAGGCTTTTCTCCTGTGTGAACTTTCTGATGACTACGAAGCCTGGTTTTACTGGTAAACATTTTCCCACATTCACTACATTGATGAAGCTTTACTCCTATGTGAACACTCTGATGACTACGAAGGTGGCCGTTAGTGGTAAAAGTCTTCCCACACTCACTGCATTTATAAGGTTTTTCTCCTGTATGAATTCTCTGATGACAACGAAGACCACTGTTCTGGGTAAAAAACTTTCCACATTCACTGCATTTATAAGGCTTTTCTCCACTGTGAACTCTCTGATGATTACGAAGGCTGTTTTTAATGGTAAAAGTTTTCCCACATACACTGCATTGATGAGGCTTTTCTCCTGTGTGAACTTTCTGATGATATTGGAGACCACTGGAATGTGTAAAAGTTTTCCCACATTCACTGCATTTATAAGGCTTTTCTCCAGTGTGAACTCTCTGATGATACTGGAGACCACTGGAATATGTAAAAGTTTTCCCACATTCACTGCATTTATAAGGCTTTTCTCCATTGTGAACTCTCTGATGACTACGAAGGTTGCTTTTAGTGGTAAAAGTTTTCCCACATTCACTGCATTGATGAGCCTTTTCTCCTGTGTGAAGTCTCTGATGACAACCAAGGCTGCTGTTAGTGGTAAAAGTTTTCCCACATTCATTGCATTGATAAGGATTTCCTCCTGTGTGAAATCTCTGATAATAATGAAGATGAGAGTTAGTTGTAAAAGATTTTCCAGATTCAGAGTACACAAAACATCGACTTCCAACATGGACACTCTTTTCCTGAATAAACATGTGGGGGCAACTAATATCTTTCTTGCATTCTTTTCTGGCGTAACCATTTTTCCTCCTTCGAAACGTCATCCCACGTGTTGAAATAGCATTTGGACTGTCCCTGGTCTGAGTAGACTTTACGTGGAGATGTTCTGGTTCGGTAAGGACACCCTGCCCAACTTCCCTGCAGGTGAAACGATTCTGGGACACATTGAAATCGCAGCTGTTTTCAAGTGAGATCCTATCCACTCCTCTAATGAAAATCTCTCTCACATACTGCTGGTGAAATTTTACACTGAAGTAAAACCGTTTTGCACACGCCCCACACCTCAACAGTATCTGTCCTTGTAGTGTTCCCTGCAGGTCCATTACGTGGAAAATGTTTCCCAAGACTATCCCACAACTCTCACAGGGGTGGCTCTTCTGGGAAGACAAGGCTTTCTTGGGAATCCTTGCCTGTGACACTCTAACAGAAACATTCTGCTCAGTTGCTGCCTCTGCATTCTCTGCTCCACAGCAGCAACCTGTATAAAAGTAAATACTGGTGAGGTACATGTTGACCTTATGAAAACAGTATATCTTCACCACCAATGATTAACTGTCATTACTATGCGTGATTCCACAGAAAGACTTTCAAAATGAGTGAGTTAGACAGTGAGGAAATTGCTATTACAAAAAACCTGACCCCAAAAGTCAGTTGATGATGGAAATCTCACCAAGAGAGGGACAGAAGCACAGCATAAGATACAAAGAAGAGACGATTGGTCTACTCCTTGTTCTTACACAAATGGCTTCCTTTAGGACCTTACATTCTGACTACGTGAGTCTGTGTGGAATAATTTCAAGCTGCTCAAAGACATAAAAATTAATTGTGTTGGATCACAGGATATTCAACTTCAATAAAATAACATGTGTGCTCTCCATGGTGCTTTAGGCATGGACCAACATTGGCTTGCAGTAGAGAGAGACCTGTGAATGAGGCAGAGGTGCAAAGTCCAGAGTGGTTAAGATTATCCGTAAGCTGGGAATCTAAGTAGCAATTATTACAATTAGAACGAGTAGCTGGCAAAGTATCAACAATAAGCACAAATAAGCATACTTCGATGAGGAATGGGCAACTGTAACAAAACACTGGGGTTCTACCTATGAATATAACAAAGGTCAGCAGAGAATTCCTCCCCAATGATCCTTCTCCAAGGCAAGACCGCCTGGGGGTCTACTGTGTCATTCATAAAGTCGTGTTTCTTCTGTGATGCACAAATGATTCTTCCCCTTCAATCCCATTTCAGGTATTACTTGGGATAAATGATACAAAGAACATGGATAGTCAGCACTGTGGTAGAATAACAAAGCACAAAGGAGATCACAGACAAAAGACGTATGAAAGTGACATCAGCAAGATGGCAGAATGAGAGAGAGAGAATCTTTCCCATTCCCAGTGTAAGTAGACAGCTATCCATTAAATAGAATCCCATAGGAAATGGGAATAAAAGTACCATGAAGACAAACAGTAATACTGAATACCAAATAAAGATAACTGCATAGAAAGGATGACAGGAAACTAACTAGGTGAGCAAACACATCTGAAGATACCTAAAGTCAAAAACATGGGTTAATTATAATTAACTAAGTAAGGAATTACATGAAGGAAGAAAGGGAGGGAGGGAGGGAGGGAGGGAGGAAGGAAGGAAGGGTCAGCCCTAGCTGGTTTGCTCAGTGGATAGAGTGTCACCCTGCGACTGAAAGTTCCCAGGTTACATTCCAGTCAAGGGCACATACTCAGTTTCTTGTGCAGTGGTTCTCAACCTTCCAAATACCGCGACCCTTTAATATAGTTCCTCATATTATGGTGACCCCCAACCATAAAATTATTTTCATTGATATTTCATACCTGTAATTTTGCTAATGTTATGAATTGTAATGTAAATATATGACATGAAGAATGTATTTTCATTGTTACAAATTGAACATAATTAAAGCATGGTGATTAATCACAAAAGCAATATGTAATTATATATGTGTTTTCCAATGATCTTAGGCGACCCCGGTGAAAGGGTCATTCGACCCCCAAAGGGTTCGCGAGCCACAGGTTGAGAACCGCTGTTCCTGTGGGTTCAGTACCTAGTAGGGGGTTGAGGGCAAAAGACCGGGTTGTGGGCTCGGTCTCTGCTGGGGGGTGTACAGAAGGCAGCCAATCAATGATTCTCTCTCATCACTAATGTTTCTCTCTTTCTCCCTATACCTTCCTCTCTGAAATCAATAAAAATATCTTTTAAAAAAATAAAAATAAAGGGTCAGCGTTACCACTATCAGCCACTGTGCTTCTCATTGATCCTAGCAACCTGTTCTCCAAAAAACTAAAATTTTTGTTTTTAAAAACCATAGAATGCCCTGGCCAGTGTGGCTCAGATGGTTGGAGCATCGTGCTGTGTATCCAAGGGTTGAGGGTTCAATTCCTGGTTAGGGCACATATCAGAATGTGGGTTCCATATCCGGTTTGCAAGTGTGCAGAAGGCAGCCTATTGATATTTCTCCCCCATACCTATCTCTCTCTCTCTCTCTCTCTCCCCATTTGCTTCCCTCTCTATGTAAAAGGAATAATACATAAGAATTTCAGGGTAGCCAAAAATAAACAAAAGAAAGCAGAGATCTCAAAAAAGTCTAGAGGCAAAGTAAATAACAAGACAACCTACCAAAGCTTATGTATAACATTCAGAAAATGTAATTATAAGGAGAAATTTTATAGAGATAAATGCCTCTATTGTCATAAATAATAATAGAGAAACATGGTAATTAGCTGTACCTCCGCTACCCTTCCCATTGGCTAATCAGGGCGATATGCAAATTAACTGCTAACCAAGATGGCGGCCGTCAGCCAGTCAGCTTGAAGCTAACAGGAGGCTTGCTTGCTTCAGTGACAGAGGAAGTCAACCTTCTCCGCCTGCGGCTGCCGGCATCTGAGCTTGCAGTTTGAAACATTGTTACAAATATAGAAGCTAAACAAAACCCCAGAAACCTGCTTTCAGCCAGCCGGGATTTCAGAGCTGGAGTTGAAACAGTGTTTAGATTATAGAACCCAAACAAACCAGATACCTGCTTTCAGCAGTCGAGGCCTCAGAGCTGGAGCCAAGCCTCAGAGCTAAAGCTGGCCCAGAATAAAAAAAAGAAAAAAAGGGCAGGTTGGGAGTTTCAGTCTGAAAATGGCCCTCAGCACCTCACCCAGACTGGCCAGGCACCCCAATGGGGACCCCACCCTGAAGGGGGTGTGACCAGATGCCAACAGCCATCATCCCCTCATCCAGGCTGGCCAGGCACCCCAGTGGGGACCCCCACCCTGATCCAGGACACCCTTCAGGGCAAACCAGACAGCCCCCACCCATGCACCAGGCCTCTATCCTATATAGTAAAAGGGTAATATGCCTCCCAGCACCGGGATCAGCGGGGCCCCAAGGCCTCCAGGCACCGGGATCAGCGTGATGGGGCAGCGACCAATCCCCCTGATCGCCCTGCGGCTCTGTGTATGACGGGGGCGAGGCCAAAACCTCCCTGTCTGCCCTGCTCTGTTTGTGACAGGGGAAGGTGCCCCAACCCCCTGATCAGCCGTGCTTTCTGCCTGACAGGGAGGGAGCTCCCCAACCCCCTGATTGCTCTGCGGCTCTGTGTGTGACAGGGTGCAGCGCCCTAACCCCCTGATCGGCCCTGCTCTGTGTGTGACAGGAGGTGGCACCCCAACTCCCCAATCGGCCCTGCTCTGAGCCCGACCAGGGGCTGCACCTAGGGATTGGGCCTGCCCTCTGCCACCTGGGAGCAGGCCTAAGCCAGCAGGTCGTTATCTCCCAAGGGGTCCCAGATTTCGAGAGGGCACAGGCCGGGCTGAGGGACCCCCCCCTCCCCACCGAGTGCACAAATTTTTGTGCACTGGGCCTTTAGTTGTCATAAAAGATCTCAAAGAACCTAACATGAGACCTCAGGAAACTAGAACCAAACAGGAAAGAAAACCCACAGGTTTCAAAGGAAAGAAACCATAAATATTAGAACAACCATAAATAAAAGGAAGACAAGAAAAAAGAAAGGAATACCTAAAAGGTATATTTTTAAAAAGGATATGAAAATGTGCAAGACTTTAGCTACACTAAAGCAAAAACAAAACAAAAACCAAGACTCAAATAAATACAAAAAGAAATGAAAGATAAGAAATTACCCCTGTCACTATGAAGCACAAAGCATCATAAGAGATGCTGATGACGACATGACCCTCCACAGAGAAATTTGTCAAGATCTGACTATGAACCCCTGAAATTAATAAACAAGTTCAGAATCCTGTCCAGATAGCTTGGTGGTTGAGAGTGTGGCCCTGATGCCCCAAGGTAGTGGGTTTGATCCCCCATCAGGGCACATGTACGGGGCAACCAATGAATGCATAGATGGGTACAACAGCACATCAATGCCTCACTCTCTTTGTTTCTCTATCTCCCTTCTTGTCTCTGAAATCAATAAATAAATGCTGCCCGGTATGTGTCACTGATTGAGCATTGACTCATTAACTAGGAGATCACAATTCAATTCCTTGTTAGAACACCTGCACTGATTGCGAGCTCAATCACCAGAGGGGGTTGTGCAGGAGGCAGCTGATCAATGACTCTCTCCCTCTTATCTCTCATGTTTTTCTCTCTCTTCTTCCTCTAGGACCATGGTCGGCAAACTGCGGCTCGCGAGCCACATGTGGATCTTTGGGCCCTTGAGTGTGGCTCTTCCACAAAATACCACGTGTGGGTGCGGACGTACAGTGCAATTGTAACTTTGTCACCCATGCGCTGAAGTCAGTTTTCAATTTGGGTGAGTCTATTTTGAAGAAGTACTGTTGATATTTGGCTCTGTTGACTAATGAGTTTGCTGACCACTGCTCTAGGAAATAAAAAATACATATATTTAAATGAATAATAAATCCAAGAATAAATAAATATCCCTAGCCACTGGGCTTCATTGATGACAGCGCTGGCTTGTGCACTAGAGGGCTAAGGTTCGATTCTCAGTCAAGGGTAGATACCTGGGTACCAGGTCCCATCCTCATTCACAGTAGAGGCACATGTGAGAGGCAGCCAATTGATGCTTCTCTTTCTCTCTCTCTGTCTCCCACTCTCCCTAAAAAAAAAAAAAAAAAATCAGTGGAAAAAAATATCCTCACTATTTGGGTGAAGATGAAAGAAGAATAAAGAATTAAATTCAGAAAAGTTACAGGATGCAAAATAAACACACAACCATTAGTTCCATTTCTACAACCTAATAATAAATTCTTTGATGGAATAATGAAGAATGTAATCAAATTTACAAAAGAATCAAAAACAATAAAACCCAAAAGAATAAATCCAACCAAAATGTGAAACATCTGTACAGTGAGTACTATAAGACAGTGATGAAAGCAATGAAAGAAAACCCAAATCAGTTGAAAGACAACCTGTGTTCATGGATCTGAAAATGAAATATGGTAGAGATAGCTATCATACACAAACAAACTACAGATTAAATGCATTCCCAATAACTCCAATGGTATTTTACAAAGAAATGAATCGAAAATCTAGAAATGGAACCAAAAGACCCCCATTAACAAAAGCAATCTTTTTAAAAGAATATATTTTATTGATTTTTTACAAAGAGGAAGGGAAAGGGACAAAGAGTTAGAAACTTCAATGAGAGAGAAACAACAATCAGCTGCCTGCTGAACACTCCATAATGGGTATGTGCCTGGAACCAAGGTACCTGCCATTGACCAGAATCGAACCTGGGCCCCTTGATCCGCAGCCAATGCTCTATCCACTGACCCAAACCAGACAGGGCAACAAAGCAAATTTGAGCAAGAAGAAAGATGGTGGCATCACAATGTTTGACTTCAATTTATTACAAAGAGAAAGCAAACAAACTGTGTGTTGCTCAAGAAACACAGACCCATACATCAACAGAACAGAACAAAAAAAACATAGAAATAAGCCCAGGCACATACTTTTAAGTAATATTTGACAAAGCAGTAGCCACAGAAGAAGGGAAAGATAGTTTCATCAATGAATGGTGCTGGTATAAATCGACATTCCCGTGTAAAACAAAAAACCTGGACACCACTGATAAAATTTAACTGAACCTGCAGGAGAGAAATGAATATCAATGCTAAAACTTAACACTCCTTAGGACAACCTAGAGAAGTTTTGGAGGTTTGTCTTGGACAGGAGTTTCTGAATGTGACACCAACCACCACACAAAATAGAAAACATAAACAGTCCACAATGAAACAAATAAATAAAAATACCGTCTTCACTGTACAACAGCAATAAACGAAGCGCAATGAAAGGCAATCTAGAAAACAGAAGAAAATACTAACAAACCATATAAAGGAATCCCTTGGAGATATTGTGGATTCGGCTATGATCAGCACAATAAAGCGAATATTGTGATATAGACAGAAATTCACAAATAGTTGGAGTTTTCCGGTAATAATGAAGGTATGTTAAAAGTATACTGCAGGCTAATACCAATGCAGTGACTCTGCCTCAGAAGCAAAGTCTATATAACTTCATTTACAATATTTAATTGCTAAGCACTACTAACAAGCACCTGAGCTTGCTAGAAACATGGTGGCATTAGACCTGCTGAACGCAGGGTTGCCAACAACATGCACGTTGTAGAAAAGTGTGTTTGGGGAGCAATATCTTCAAATATCTATTAAGCTCATGCAAAAATACGTGTTCCTGTATGTCATAAGTAATTAATATATAAAATCTACAAGGTATTCAAAACACTCTAATAAAAAAATACAGTTAATAAACATAAGGATGTGGAGACAACTTTTTAAAAATATATACACGTGACCAATAGGAATATAGAAAATTCTTTTCTTACTAATCAAGGTGGAATCCTTTAACCTTCCTACAATACTATCAACCACAAGTCCTTCCCTGTGAATTTAGTGCAGCCGGGAGTATTGGGACTTCAGGAATAGAAGGGAGCAGCAGAAACAGACCAACTGTCCCAGGACAGCAACTACCCAGGAAACTGGAAAAATCAAGCAGTACCACAGTCTACCTGGGAGGACAGAGCACACCCTGGGGGATGGGGCCTGGGAAGGCTCAAAGACAAGTCCAGGTCACTGGTGTGAGGGTCTTACCCAGCGAGGATATAAGTTCAAAGTTCTCCAGCATCACATTCAGGTACAGCTGTCTCTGACCCTCATCAAGGAGGCTCCATTCCTCCCTGGAGAAGTACAGGGCAATGTCCTCATAGGTCACGCCAACCTGTCAAAATCAAAAGAATTGAAACTAGAGCAGCCTTTCTGAACCAGTAATTCTACTCCTTACACACCTTACCTGCCCTCAACTTCCTCCAGGGCACTGTTAACTGTGGACACGAGGCCATAATGCCGGTGCAGGCTGCTCTCACATCACAGTCACATTACTCACTGTGATTGCCCTCAGCAGAGCAGCTGGGTTGGGTGGGAAGTTTTAAGGGAGGGGAAAGTAGGGAAGGGGAGGGGAGATGAGGAATGGGAGGGCAGGGGAGGGGAGATAGCAATGGCATTTATGGTCTGGGCAATGCCTGAAGGACCCCAGCTTTCCTGCCAAGCAACACCACTGCAGTCTCCTAGATCCTGCCTCCAAGACAAAGCCAAGTGTGGATTTAAGCTTTGGCTTTAAGTCCCCACACCAGGACCCGGGGACCATCAGCTCACACTTCCTCCAGATATGCTCACCACTGGGTAATGTTCATCCCCTTCCCATGTTCAGACCCCAGGTTCACTCCCTCAGCTCTGCCCCCTTCCGGCTCCAATGCCACTGGATCTCACTGGACTCGCCCATGAACTTGGCATATGGCGTGTAGAGAGCTTGTAGTCCAGCCGGATCCACGACCACCCCAGGCCCCTGATGGACCCACAGCCGGGAAAGCCCCAAATGAGGCTGTGACGTCCTCCCTGCAGCCTCTGATCTTTCCGTCAATACTCACAGCCACGTCCTCAGGGACCTTCAGATGCAAGTCACCCCCGTCCTCTCTGCCCTGCACCTGCTGTGTCCTCAGAAGCCGCACACTCCTCCCTCCCCTCCACCTTCCGCACGGTCCTCCACGCGGGACTGAGCTGCAGGACGGGACAGGCGCCCTCCCCAGGCTGTGGTGTCTGTGTGAGGAGGCGGTGAGGGCCTGGGGGTCTCGTACTCACCTCAGCCCGTCTCCTCAGCGGGGGCGCCGCCATTGCCCTCTGTGGGCTGAGCCGGGCCGGAGTAGAAGCCGCTGCAGGAATGGCGGTCCCTGTCCCGGCCCTGGCTTGGATTCGGGCGGTGACTCCGAGCTTCAATCCCAAGTGTGAGCACCACTGGCGGCTCCCACCATTGGCTGTGAGGCGGGGAGCACCACTCTCCGGCCTTCTCCACGGGACTGAGCCCAACAGCTCGCGCCTGCCTGAGACAAAAACGTGAAAAGACAAAATCCGCCAGGAGGACTACCGGTCTCGCCCTACAGAAGCGGCCAAACGGAAATGTCTTCTCTGAGCCCCTATTGGCTCAGCTTAGTGGCATTCCACGCTTGGCCTTGTGGGTAATGTCGTTTTTCCGCTTCAAGGGCAGGGTGCCATATGTCTCAGTTGACTCCTGGACTTGATTTAGGGTCAAAGAACCCAAGAAAACACCAACTACACTAGGGATCCTCTAGAGCCTTCTGTGGAGGTGATATCAGGGGAAAGTGTTTTTCCACAACTTGCATGGCTGGTTTTCCATATCTTTCTTCAGGACCTGCTCTTTCTGAATGGCAGGCATTGTTTTTTCATTCAGGACATTTAAGATGTGTCTCCTTCAGGCCATATGTAGCTGAGGGAGGTGGCTCAATTCTCTAACTGGATCTAACCTGACTCCATTGAATTCATTATACAAAGTTCATGTCACAAAATAGACACTTATACTTAAGAGCATCTGCTTCTGGTGCCATCCAAAATGTCAGCTTGCGGATGGAAGAGTCCCACGTTCGATTCTGGTAAAGGGCACATGCCTTGGTTGCAGGCTCAATCCCCACTGTGGGGAATGCAGGAGGCAGCCAATCAATGATTCCCTCTCATTATTGATGTTTCTATCTCTCTCTCCCTCTCCATTCCTCTCAGAAATCAATCAATATATATATATTTTGAAAAAAGTGTCAGCTCTGCCTGGGCTGCAGTGTGGATAAGATGGCCAAGGATGCCGAAGCCGGTTTGGCTCAGTGGATAGAGCGTCGGCCTGCGGACTGAAGGGTCCCAGGTTCGATTCTTGTCAAAGGCATGTGCCTTGGTTGTGGGCACATCCCCGGTGGGAGGTGTGAAGGAGGCGGCTGATAGATGTTTCTAACTCTCTATATCTCTCTTCCTCTCTGTAAAATCAATAAAATATATATTTTTTAAAAAGATGGCCACGAAATATGTGAAAAAATGCTCAAAGTGACTGATCATCAGAGAGATGCAAATTAAAGCAACAATTAGATACCACCTCACACCTGTCAGAATGGCTGTCTTCAACAAATCAACCAAGGACAAGTGCTGGGGAGGATGTGGAAAAAAAGGAACACAATTACATCCTGGTGGGAATGTAAACTGGTATAGCCATTATGGAAATCAGTTTGTAGTTTTTGCAACAATTTTAATATGGAACTGCCATTTAATTCCTTGATTCTACTCCTAGGAATATATCATAAGAAACTTGAATAAATCAGGTAGAATGTATGCTGCTCTCTGTTCATAGCAGCACAATTTACAATAGCAAAGATCTGGAAACTGCCCAAGGATCCATCAGTAGAATAGTGGATAAAAAAACTGTGGTACATTTATACCATGGAATACTATGCAGCAGTAAAAATGAAAAATCTCTTACCCTTTCACATAGCATGGAGGGACCTTGAGAGCATCACGCTAAGTGAAATAAGTCAGTCAGAGAAGATAGTATCACTTGATCTCACTCATATTTGTAATAAAATTAAGAAAAAACTGATGGAGCGGATTCAGAGATATGGAAGCATGGAATTACTGCAGGATCTTAGAGGGAAAGTGGGGAAGGGTAAACAGTAATGTCCTCAGGTAAGGATTAAAAACACAGACATGCACACAATAAAAACAAAGTCACCTGAGCCTTGAGTATTTTCTTCTGTTCTCTGAAAGCAAGGGGAAAGCTCTAGCTTGCTGGGTTCTGGGTCTGCTCTACATTTGTGTTTATAAATATGTCTTCTGTCAGTTGTGTCCCGGGAAATGCTGATACCCCTCCATGTAATGTTCTCCTGCTTCCCATGAGTCAATTGTTTTGGTGTTGTTGTAAGAAATGTCCAAACCTGTGGAGACTTTTTCTAAGTTTATTTGAACCAAGTTGGCAACATTTGCCAGGAAGCAAAATAACAACAGTTTGAATAATGGTCAGGAGAACGACAGTTTTACATCGTTTTTATACATTATACTCAAAAGAGAAGACATATGGGGGTTACATGAAATTCACTGGTGTTAAATTAGAGTGGGGGGAATGAGAAGGGAAATCTCTAGGATTAAATAAAAAGGAACAAAAAAATATACAAAAACTTAGTTTTAAAATGTTCTCCAACAGTTAACACTTAATACTTGACACAACAACAATAATAACTGCGGACCTGAGGTCTTCTGTGTTTGGAGATTGTGCCCTTAGGAGTCTGTAAAAGAGGAAATTTCCCTGAAAATCCAAAGATATGTATTCTAGATGCAAAAAGAGAATAGACACGCTCAATAAGCTAAAGATTGACGTTTGCAAAGAAACAAAACAAAAACGAGGCTAGGGCATAACTACCCCTGTGACTTGCTTTTACTTAAAAAGTTTTAACTTCAAACCTTCCTAGTTGGTTACTTTTGGCCTGAGTTTGTAGGATTTACCATGTGATGTCAGGGTACCTGAGCTTGCTATATTTCCTATACCACCATTTTTGTCCATACTGTGGTGTTAAAACCTATGCGGTCAGGAGAAAAATCACTGAGTCGTGTATTTTCTTTGGGACCCATTGCTGACATCCTCCTGAACACAATGCCCCCAGTACTGCTGGTGTCCTTTTATTTGGTCTCCTAGAAGTATTCACTCTTCAGGTCAATAAAGCCTTAGGTTCTAAGTGTGGTTGAGGTATTTGTAAGGACAAGAAGAAGTCTTTAAGTTTCTTTTCTGTGACCTTCCACAATTTATGAGAAGCACTTGCTAATTAAACCCCCAAATTACTGGCTCCTCTAATTCAAAGAGCTCCTCTGTTCAAACTGCAGAACAAGATAAGCTATTTTTAAGGCTAAATCCTTACATACCCTTCCTTCCTGGCATTTGTTGTTACACCTCAGGGATAACTCACATCAAGGAGTCTCTAGTTAGTAGAAAGTTTCCTCTCCTCCACCCCTTCCAACAAGCCTCTTTTGAACTCTTCATACCTTTTTCTCTGGTCATATTTTATAGGCTGGGAAAGAAACTGATAAGACACCTCCCTAGAACATCTGCCAAACTGTCTCCGGGAAAACAAACAAACTGTAACTTTTAAGGACAGCCCCTCTTATCTACACAACTTCAGCTCAGCCCAAGGCCCCTCCATTCTTTGTCCCTTAGTAACAAGCACTGCTGAAAAGCAGAAGCCACCATTTCTTCCCTGCCCTGAATTGACTAGCAATACTTGGCCTATTCCTGTCTTGGAAAGTAAAATAAACTTCCTCTCTGCATTGCTTCTTTTATTTATTTATTTTTTTTGTTTTTGTTTTTTTGTTTTTTTCTGTTCATCAGATTATTTATTCACTTGATTCTTAGATTCACTTGTTGATAGATGTGTATTTGTTGTTCATAATTTGTATCTTTACCTTTTTCTTCCTCTTCCTCTTCTTAAAGGATACCTTTCAGCATTTCATATAATCCTGGTTTGGTGGTGATGAACTCCTTTAGCTTTTCCTTATCTGTGAAGCTCTTTATCTGACCTTCAATTCTGAATGATAGCTTTGCTGGATAAAGTAATCTTGGTTGTAGCTTCTTGCTATTCATCACTTTGAATATTTCTTGCCACTCCCTTCTGGCCTGCAAAGTTTCTGTTGAGAAATCAGCTGACAGTCGTATGGGTATTCCCTTGTAGGTAACTGAGTTTCTTTCTCTTGCTGTTTTTAAGATTCTCTCTTTATCTTTTGCTCTTGGCATTTTAATTATGATGTGTCTTGGTGTGGTCCTCTTTGGATTCCTTTTGTTTGGGGTTCTCCACGCTTCTTGGACCTGTAAGTCCATTTCTTTCACCAGGTGGGGGAAGTTTTCTGTCATTTTCTTCAAATAGGTTTTCACTATCTTGCTCTCTCTCATCTTCTGGCACCCCTATAATTCTGATGTTGGTACGCTTGAAGCTGTCCCAGAGGCTCCTTACACTATCCTCGCATTTTTGGATTCTTTTTTCATTTTGCTTTTCCGTTTGGGTGTTTTTTGCTTCCTCGCATTTCAAATCATTGACTTGATTCTTGCGCTCCTCTGGTCTGCTGTCGGGAGTCTGTATAATATTCGTTATTTCAGTCCGTGTATGCTTAATTTCTAGTTGGTTCCCCAATATAACATCGAGGGTCTCATTAGTTTTCTTGTAGATCTCATTAAGTTTATCGGCGGCTTCTAAACAGTTCTTGAGAGACCTTAAAAGTGTGGTTCTGAACTCCATATCTTCCCTTGACAATTTTGTCCTGTTTCTTTGTCTCCGCATTTTGTTATGCTTCCTTGGTGCACCCCCTAGTGGTCTTTGTTCCTGCATTGCTTCTTTTAGACGTGAATTCTTTGACAGGCTGTATCACCGCCCAAAACTTAACAGTATTCCTTTAATTTGTGGAGTTAAGGGAGTGATTGTAAAAGAAGATTGGGGAAATGACATTGTAGAGGCAAAATAACTTTCCCTTCTTTTCTAAGTTCTTCGGTTAGTCTAAAAATTAAATGGATAGCTTTAGCTGATTTGGCCTAGTGGACAGAGTGTCGGCCTGTGAACTAAAGGGTTCCTGGTTCAATTCTGGTCGGGGGCAAATGCCAGGGGTTTCAGGCTTGATCCCCATTGTGGGGCACACAGGAGGCAGCCCAGCAATGATTCTCTCTCATCATTGATGTTTCCGTCTCTCTCTCTCTCTCTCTCTCTCTCTCTCTCTCTCTCATCAATAGAAATATTTTTTAAAATTAAGTTAAATTAAATTAAATGGATATAACACAGATTAAGAGGGGAAAACAATAAAAAACTTATTAACATGTATACCTATTGTAAACATCAAGCCTGTCAAAGGTGGGGCCCCCAGGCTACAGGGGGCCCACAAAGAATATTCATTAATGATCACTCATTTATATCAGCCCTTTGTATTCAACCTATCGAAATAAACCTACATTTCTATGAAAATTTAAGCTTTGTTTGTGTGGCCCACAGAAACTTAAACCTTGTTTATAT